ACTGTATTACTTTTTAATATAATGTAACTTAATAATATTTACTTTTTTTACATTTTAATTTTTAAAATACGTTTTCACACTAAAAATATTGTAAAACACATCAAGTCCCAAAGATTAAGATGGGCTGGCCACTTAGCACGGATGCCTGAAGACCGCAAACAAAAACGAACCTTCGAATATAAGCCACTGTTAAGTAGAGGAAGGGGCAGGCCATGAGCTAGGTGGATAGACGGCATAGAAAGTGATTTGCGAACACTAGGGGTTCGCGATTGGAAGAGAGAGGCAGAAAATAGAGCAGAATGGAGGCAAATTGTAAAGAAGGCCAAATCTCACCACGAGATGTAGCGCCAGAAGAAGAAGAAAGAAGAAGACGTTTTCACACAATAAAAATGTCAAACCACGTAGAATCAATAGAACTAAATCAAAAATAATAAAGCGTACCGATTTTTTAAATTTAGAAAATATAGATAATTTACTTGCAAATTGTAATGCTAGCTTTGAGGGAACCGGATGTTTTATGAAAAATTCTTCAATTGATTTAACAAATGGCATTATACCTGTAGACTTATACTGCAAATGTTAAGAAAACCTTTGAAGGATGAGTTTTTTGTTTTATCATTATTATTTACAAAAATTTTTATTTTTATTAAAAAAATTACATAATTCTTAAAATACGAAAAGTATCGCTTCAACGTCTTATAGTTATAGAGAATATAGAGCGTTGGTTTATCTATCTATTAACAATTATCTATAAGAAACAAATATTTATTATCAAAAAAATATGTATTTAAAATCGATTAACACAAAAAACAAAATTAAAATTAAAAAGATTATTATTACTTACTAGGCTTATTATTCTACCTGTGAAAGTATAATTATAAATTCAAAAAATTCTAATACTCTATTTGCTGTCTGATAATTAATTCACGTTTACAATTTGAATTTTAATTCATGTTTTGGCTGCCTCATGGTATACCAAGAATATTATAAATGATGGTTCAAAATTAGCTGTTCGTTAATTAATATTTTGCATATATTTTCAATTGGAAATGTTAGATTTGTTAACATCAACTACCCATTCTAATACTTTGGATTTAAAAAGCGACAAAGTATCACACTGCATGACAAAATTCGGTAAAGAATTAAAAAGTGAAAAACCTAAATGTGACACGCACTGTTTCCTTATTTCGAGCCTACACGGAGTAACAACCAAATTAATACTATTTGAACTTTGCTATTCACACGGGCAAAATTGGCCTGGCGACAACTGCTAAAAATTCATTTGTGAGATAACGCCTATTTAAACGATAAGCTTGCTTTAAAACCGTATTCTGAATTCTTTACACACCTGATACTGCATCCTTTATTTTAAAATAAACAGATATTTAAATGTTAATTTAAATTTAATAAATGTAAATATAAATTTAAAAAAGGGGAGATGTATTACGTTAATGAATTATATGTAAAACGCCTTTAATGTTTAGTAATGTGGTGCACACCTTGTATTAAATAATATTGTTGTTTTTATACCCTGCACTTCGTGAAGGGTATATTAACTTTGGTATGGAGTTTGTAACTACTTGAAGGAGTCATCTGCGGTATGGACATATATATATATTCTTGCTCAGCGTAAAATTCTGCGTTGATTTAGACATGTCCGTCCGTCCGTCCGTCCGTCCGATCGCACGATAACTCACAAACGAATAATGCAATTGACACCCAACTTTCACAAGTTCTTTCTTTTGTGCCAAGGACGAACTCTATTGTTATTGGACCAATTCGGACAACGGGTTCGGGGAGCTGCCATACAACTCAAAGAGTTTATTTTAATTATTTCAAAAACTAATAAAGGTACAAATACAAAATTTTGTATACATGTGTCCAATTATATTCTACATATGCTCTAAAAATTTTAATGAGATAGCTGCACCGGTTCGGGTGGCTGCCATACAACTCCAAAAGCAAATTTTTTATATTCGGCAAAATAATAAAGTCAGATTCATGAAACTTGGCAGTCGTGTGTCCAATTATAGGTCAAAGATATTTCTGAAGTTTTGGTGGAATTGCTTGACAGGTTCGAGCAGCTCCCATACAAGTCCAAAAGCTTATTTTAAATATTTGGAAAAATAATAAAGTCAGATTCATGAAACTTGGCAGTTGTGTGTCCAATTATAGGTCAAAGATATTTCTGAAGTTTTGGTGGAATTGCTTGACAGGTTCGAGTGGCTCCCATACAAGTCCAAAAGCTTATTTTAAATATTTGGAAAAGTAATAAAGTTAGGTTCTTGAGACTTGGCAGTTGTGTGTCCAATTATAGATCAGATATATTAGCGAAGTTTTAGTGGAATTGCTTGGCAGGTTCGAGTACCTGCCATACAACTCCAAAAGCTAATTTTAAATATTTGGAAAAATAATAAAGTCAAATTCATGAAACTTGGCAGTTGTGTGTCCAATTATAGATCAGATATATTTGCGAAGTTTTAGTGGAATTCCTTGGCAGGTTCGGGTACCTGCCATACAACTTCAAAAGCTAATTTTAAATATTTGGAAAAATAATAAAGACAGATTCATGAAACTTGGCAGTTGTGTGTCCAATTATAGCTCAAAGATATTTCTGAAGTTTTGGTGGAATTGCTTGGCAGATTCGAGTGGCTCCCATACAAGTCCAAAAGCTTATTTTAAATATTTGGAAAAGTAATGAAGTTAGATTCATGAAACTTGGCAGTTGTGTGTCCAATTATAGATTAGATATATTAGCGAAGTTTTAGTGGAATTGCTTGGCAGGCTCGGGTACCTGCCATACAACTCCAAAAACTAATTTTAAATATTTGGAAAAATAATAAAGTCAGATTCACGAAATTTGTGTGTTCAGTTATAGATCAGACATATCCGTGAAGTTTCTATAGAATGGTTTCACAGGTTTGAGTAATTGCTATACAACAATGAAAGGTGCAGGGTATAATTCAATCGGTTCATACCGACTGAAACGTTTTTACTTGTTTTAAATATCAAATGTGCTACGTATAGAATACGTGCATGTATTTAATATAAAATATTAAAACAACTCCTAACAAATCAGTTGTAGACCAAACACGTAATTTATTTTATTTAAAAACTGATACCTCAAAGTTTTAAAAATACCATTTTCTGCTATTTATTGTATCGAAGCCACAAGCATTTTTTAATTTTTTGAAAACGCATAAATGTTGTAGTGGGTTTCGGTATCTTTGAAAATTTTAACTTTAAGAAAACAAAATAGTCGTTAAAATTAACCTATCTAAAATCAGTTTTTTTTTTCAAATTTTTCAAACTGTTTGTTCTAAAGTCACGAACAACCTTTGAATTTGACCAATATATTATTGCGTCTTTAAATTTTTTTATGTCTCGTCCCAAATGTATGCAATATTTGGAAATATTTTGTTATATAAATAAAAGTAACTTAAAATATGTAATATGTATGTAAATTGTTTTTAGCAGCATTTTGTTGAAGGGAAAAGGGAAATGTTACTTTTTACCCAATCTTAGGGACTTACCCAATTTTGTTTTTAATCAACTCTATTAATTTCATCAGAATTTTATATTTTATTTCATTAAGAATGTTTCGGTCTGACAGATTTAGATATTGAAAACACAATTACTAAGAAAACCTTCTTTGTTTCATTCTGCATTCCATGTTAAGAAATTTATTTTAAATATAAACGCCAAATTAAAAACAAAAATTTATAATTTGAAATGTTTCTTAATCCATTTTTTTAAGATTAATTTTCTTTAATATTCCTTTAAGATTTCCTTCGTAAAGTGTATAATGTATTTCCAAAATGTGTATTAAAAGCTCTTGAAATTGTATACTATTCTAAAATGTATTGAATACGCAGTGAAAACGTAAAACAAAAGCAGAGCTTTAAAACGTAAAGAGTGTACATAAAAATTGAGACTGTTGAAAAATTTGAGACTGTTGAGACAACGGAAAGAAGAACAAATTATTAAAATCAAATTACTTACTAAGATTCTTATTGTTTTAATTGTAATTTTTTATTTACACGAGTATTTATTCAAAAGTAGTATTTTTTTAATCAATACGAAATACAATTATTTTAAATACAAAAAAAATATTTTTTGGACCAAAGATTTAAAAAAAAAACAACCTATAATATGTATATATATATGTTGTGTAATGTTTTTTATCGTCACATTTATACAACAAAATGTAAGCTTACATAAAATGCAGCGGTTTCACAAGCTTTTCGTTGTTGTAAATCTGTATATTTAAAAGATTTTTAAACTGTATTAATACTTTTTATAATGCGTTTTGGAAGCCACGAAGGCGCATAAAAAAAAAATTTGTTTTGCGTTAATTTTTCTTTATATAAAAGAAAAAGTTCCGAATTGTTTGGAAACCGTGTTGAATACGCAGAAACAAGCAAAGAACGCCTCGAAAAATTTCCCGACGTTTTTTATGCTTAAGCGGTGCTGCCACTGAATGTGAAATTTATGAAAATCATTCTGTTTTATTAAATATTAAGACATTATTTTGGCAATCTTGCAAATAAGTTCAAAGGCAGTCTAAAAATATATAAGTATAAAACATACATTTTCAGGAGAAGGTGAAAACTTTTTAAAGTTTATTTTGTAACATTTAAGATATATTTATTCAAAAGGCAAACAACATAAACTTAACTGAGTTTATGAATAATAATATTCGTCTTACATATTACATTTTCTGAATTTATTTTGCCTGAAACGTAATAATAGTTATACCTGTAATATTTTTATCGCGTACACTAAAAAAAATATATTTGCACTGTTCGAACTATTGCGTTATATGAAGGATTTCTATGTATTGTAGACTTACGATATTTTTACTAAATGTGACTTATTCTCGTTTTCCCTGTTATCATAGCTATTGGTTTTTATAAATGCATTAGTTTTATTTAAAAAAAATAATAAACAAAACGATAATATAAAATTTATTTAAAATATTATTGGAAAATTTCTTTTAGATGCTTGCAGCAATGGAAAGATTTAGCCCGTCGTGTGGACAGTTTACACAAACAAGTAACAATAGCACTAGTCGGCAAATATACAAAACTTGAGGACTCATACGCTTCAGTTTCGAAATCTCTGCAGCATGCATCAATAGCTGCCGGGTACAAATTAAATTTAAAATATATAGAAGCTTGTCATTTGGAGCAACAAACTCGCGAGGTATCTCCCTCACTTTATCACGAAGCGTGGCATACTCTTTGTAATGCGGACGGTGTTATTGTGCCAGGAGGTTTTGGACAACGAGGTATGGAAGGAAAGATAACGGCATGTAATTGGTGTCGGGAAAAGAAGAAACCATTTTTAGGTATATGTTTAGGTCTGCAAGCGGCCATTATAGAGTTTTGTAGAAATGTCCTTGGCATGAAGGACGCAAATACAACAGAAATTGACCCCTCCACTTCATATCCAGTAGTTATTGATATGCCGGAACATCATCCTGGCCAAATGGGTGGCACTATGCGGTTGGGCAATCGTACAACAGTTTTCACAGCAGAAACTAGTATTATAAGACAACTGTATGGAAATCGAAATAAAGTGGCTGAGAGGCATAGGCATCGTTACGAAGTAAATCCCGAATTTGTTCCAATGATTCAAGAAAATGGCCTAAAATTTGTGGGAATGGACACTGAAAAAACAAGAATGGAAATTATAGAACTGTCAGACCATCCCTACTACGTCGCAACGCAATACCATCCGGAATATCTTTCAAGGCCGTTAAAACCGTCACCCCCATTTCTAGGCCTGATTTTGGCATCTGTTGGAAAGCTCAATAATTTTATTCAACGTGGTTGCAGGCTGTCTCCAAAACAAATGTCAGACGCTAGTAGCGATGAGGACGAATGTCTTGTGAAAACATCAAAAATCAAGAAAAATGGTGCAGTTACATCTAATAACCTAATTTTTTTGAGTGAAAATGTAAACAAAATCCAATCAGAATTTGGTAGTCAAAAAATTTATGTAGAAGGTGAACCATCTCCAAACAATACAATAGAGAGTAGCTGAAATACCTTAAATTTACTTATAAATTTTAAAAATAAGAAGTACTTAGAATAAAGTAAATATGAGTTTACGTTTCAAATATTTGTTTTCTCTATTCCTTCTGTTTCTAAATATGTTATATTGGTCATTATGAAAATCTAAAAACTCAGTATAAAAGTTAACGCATCTAAACTGGGTAAAATTTTTGTTCGGAACATACCATCAAATTGGAACCGTTTCCAAGCTACAGGGATTTTAAGAAAATTTGGTGAAATTTTAACATACCTAAGTTTTTTTGCCTAAAACTTCCGTTCCGAAAAAACAGGAGCTTTTAATTAACAGTTTCTGAAAGGGCTAGTAAAAGGATTGAAAGCAACATGTTATTTTTAGTATATGAACTTTGGTATGGAGTTTGTAACTACTTGAAGGAGTCATCTGCGGTATGGACATTTATATATATTATTACATTTATACATTATTTTTCTATTTTAATGCAACATAATGTAAATGCATAAAAACCTTTTTGGCAACTTACGTTAATGAGTAGAACCAAACATAAAAAAAACTTTTTTGAGTGTTATTTTATTTCATACTAGGGGCCCCTGTGGTTTGCTTATAAGCAGTATTATCTGTTGTAAAAACAGGATTGTGGCAATCAATTTTAAAATAAGTTTAGAAAAATTTGTACATATTATGGCATACATATGCAGGTATATACTTGTATATGCATAAATATCATATTGGTTTGAATACTAATGATAAATAAAAGTAATGGAAATATTTTTAATTTAATAAATTTTAAGATGTAATATGTGTCACTGTTAATTACATAGATATGATTAAAATTCAAATTAAGAATTAGTTAACAATTAAGAACGAAAAATTTCCTTCTAAACAACGTTATCTAGATAAGTACGTAACGTAACGTTATTCGTGTTCTTATATCTCTCACAATTTTTAGTTTTATTTTTTTTAATTCCATTCCATGTTAAATACAACAACAAAAAATTATTTTACTCTTACTTAAATCATTTAAAATATTTCGCTTCCTTTTGCTTTTTATTTTTGTTTATGGTAGTAAAGCAAAAAAACAAAAAAAATATTACTACTCTTTTTTTACTCTCTTTCGCTTTTCGTTTTCATTTTTTGTTTTTGTTTTACAGTATGTATAATCAATTGAGTAGTGTATGTACCCAGTATTCTCTTTTGCTATTTTCATTTCTTTGTTTTTGTTATTTATTAGATTATATGTATACCTGTTCATGAACTGGAAAAATCTTGTAAAATATAATATAGATGCGTTAATATGATTCATGCACGAATTATATATTTTTGCTGATTTTATTCATTTTGCAGAAACTAATTAACAAAACAATAATATTAAAACACATACAGAAATGAATGTTATCTCTTCTGCGTTGTGTTATACAGGCTTATTAAATTTATGAGAAAATCAACATAACACAAAAATAAAAAATTTCTGCAACAAATCTGTGTGCAGTATGATATAAAGACCTGAAATGTTGGTAGAATTCAGAGTTATTTTTTTTTTGTTTTTTTTTCGTTTTATTTTTCTATGTTATTTTTCTGAAGATAAAGAAATATTCTTTAGCGAAAATGCTCTATGGTTGCGCCATTGGATTTGGCTTTTTTTAAAAAAAAAGTGTAATATAATATAGATATACATACGTACCTAAAATGTTGCGAGAATTCTGAATAATTCTTCCCCTTTCCGTTTTCTTTTTCTATGCTATTCTTCCGAAAATAAAGAATATATGTAAGCGAAAATACACTATGGTTGCGCCATTGAATTTGTCTTGTATAATATAATATAGATTTCATCCATCGTTGTAAATTTTTTAAATTCCCCTTTAATTTAATTTGAATTTATGGTACCACAAAAATTGTTTGAACAATATGGCCATATTCACTTTTTAGTATAAATTTAATAGTATTTAAACATATGAATTTAAGAAAAGTTTTAAAATGTTTTTTAAATAATTTACATTTCCCTTTTAGTACTTTTCCAAAAAATTTTTGAAAAAAGTTTCACTCTGTCCGTGGACATGTGTACAAAACTTCTACACCCTTAAAGGCAGAAAGCTAAATTTAACATGTACATAGATCTTTATTAGAAACTTATTTCCGTAGAACAAAATTTTTACCTATCTGCCCCCCCCCCCCTCCCTTTAGAAATTATACCTCCTCTCAAAACCTTAAAAATGCCATTTTTAACTATTTTTTGCAGTGAAATCATAAACATTTTCCGAATTTTGCAAACGAAGAAAGGCAGTAGCTTGTTTCTCCTATTGCGGCATACTATAGTTAAACTTCAAAAGGAACAAATTAGCCGTTTAAATTTACTGTTATCTAAAATCTGTTTTTTCGACATTTTTGATGTCGTTTGTTTTCTAGACCCCAGGTTGTGGGAGCCTGAATTTTAGCAGCTTTTAGGCACTAACAAATAGTTCATTTCGTAAGAATAAGATTCCTTTTCGTCTCCACCCCCCTCAAGTTATCGCCTCTTGAAATTTGTAAAATTTGAACTTGTAAAAGTTAAAATCGAGCATTATGTTAACACCCCCTTAAATTAATTTTTGCTTTATTTCAAGGACTGCATAAACCGTTCATCCTATATATATGCAGTTCTAGAAATAGTTCCGTATATGAATGAAAATAATTTTAATAGTGTGATAGGTATACATACACTGTATTTAAAAGCAGTATTTTAACTTGTTTAAGAGAAAAGTGTTACAATATAAACCATTGATTTGATCCAACTGTATTACTTTTTAATATAATGTAACTTAATAATATTTACTTTTTTTACATTTTAATTTTTAAAATACGTTTTCACACAATAAAAATGTCAAACCACGTAGAATCAATAGAACTAAATCAAAAATAATAAAGCGTACCGATTTTTTAAATTTAGAAAATATAGATAATTTACTTGCAAATTGTAATGCTAGCTTTGAGGGAACCGGATGTTTTATGAAAAATTCTTCAATTGATTTAACAAATGGCATTATACCTGTAGACTTATACTGCAAATGTTAAGAAAACCTTTGAAGGATGAGTTTTTTGTTTTATCATTATTATTTACAAAAATTTTTATTTTTATTTAAAAAATTACATAATTCTTAAAATACGAAAAGTATCGCTTCAACGTCTTATAGTTATAGAGAATATAGAGCGTTGGTTTATCTATCTATTAACAATTATCTATAAGAAACAAATATTTATTATCAAAAAAATATGTATTTAAAATCGATTAACACAAAAAACAAAATTAAAATTAAAAAGATTATTATTACTTACTAGGCTTATTATTCTACCTGTGAAAGTATAATTATAAATTCAAAAAATTCTAATACTCTATTTGCTGTCTGATAATTAATTCACGTTTACAATTTGAATTTTAATTCATGTTTTGGCTGCCTCATGGTATACCAAGAATATTATAAATGATGGTTCAAAATTAGCTGTTCGTTAATTAATATTTTGCATATATTTTCAATTGGAAATGTTAGATTTGTTAACATCAACTACCCATTCTAATACTTTGGATTTAAAAAGCGACAAAGTATCACACTGCATGACAAAATTCGGTAAAGAATTAAAAAGTGAAAAACCTAAATGTGACACGCACTGTTTCCTTATTTCTAGCCTACACGGAGTAACAACCAAATTAATACTATTTGAACTTTGCTATTCACACGGGCAAAATTGGCCTGGCGACAACTGCTAAAAATTCATTTGTGAGATAACGCCTATTTAAACGATAAGCTTGCTTTAAAACCCTATTCTGAATTCTTTCCACACCTGATACTGCATCCTTTATTTTAAAATAAACAGATATTTAAATGTTAATTTAAATTTAATAAATGTAAATATAAATTTAAAAAAGGGGAGATGTATTACGTTAATGATTATATGTAAAACGCCTTTAATGTTTAGTAATGTGGTGCACACCTTGTATTGAATAATATTGTTGTTTTTTTAAATATCAAATGTGCTACGTATAGAGTACGTGCATGTATTTAATATAAAATATTAAAACAACTCCTAACAAATCAGTTGTAGACCAAACACGTAATTTATTTTATTTAAAAACTGATACCTCAAAGTTTTAAAAATACCATTTTCTGCTATTTATTGTATCGAAGCCACAAGCATTTTTTAATTTTTTGAAAACGCAGAAATGTTGTAGTGGGTTCGTTATCTTTGAAAATTTGAACTTTAAAAATACAAAATAGTCGTTAAAATTAACCTATCTGAAATCAGTTTTTTTTCAAATTTTTCAAACTGTTTGTTCTAAAGTCACGAACAACCTTTGAATTTGACCAATATATTATTGCGTCTTTAAATTTTTTTATGTCTCGTCCCAAATGTATGCAATATTTGGAAATATTTTGGTATATAAATAAAAGTAACTTAAAATATGTAATATGTATGTAAATTGTTTTTAGCAGCATTTTGTTGAAGGGAAAAGGGAAATGTTACTTTTTACCCAATCTTAGGGACTTACCCAATTTTGTTTTTAATAAACTCTATTAATTTCATCAGAATTTTATATTTTATTTCATTAAGAATGTTTCGGTCTGACAGATTTAGATATTGAAAACACAATTACTAAGAAATTTATTTTAAATATAAACGCCAAATTAAAAACAAAAATTTATAATTTGAAATGTTTCTTAATCCATTTTTTTAAGATTAATTTTCTTTAATATTCCTTTAAGATTTCCTTCGTAAAGTGTATAATGTATTTCCAAAATGTGTATTAAAAGCTCTTGAAATTGTATACTATTCTAAAATGTATTGAATACGCAGTGAAAACGTAAAACAAAAGCAGAGCTTTAAAACGTAAAGAGTGTACATAAAAATTGAGACTGTTGGAAAATTTGAGACTGTTGAGACAACGGAAAGAAGAACAAATTATTAAAATCAAATTACTTACTAAGATTCTTATTGTTTTAATTGTAATTTTTTATTTACACGAGTATTTATTCAAAAGTAGTATTTTTTTAATCAATACGAAATACAATTATTTTAAATACAAAAAAAATATTTTTTGGACCAAAGATTTAAAAAAAAAACAACCTATAATATGTATATATATATGTCGTGTAATGTTTTTTATCGTCACATTTATATAACAAAATGTAAGCTTACATAAAATGCAGCGGTTTCACAAGCTTTTCGTTGTTGTAAATCTGTATATTTAAAAGATTTTTAAACTGTATTAATACTTTTTATAATGCGTTTTGGAAGCCACGAAGGCGCATAAAAAAAAATTTGTTTTGCGTTAATTTTTCTTTATATAAAAGAAAAAGTTCCGAATTGTTTGGAAACCGTGTTGAATACGCAGAAACAAGCAAAGAACGCCTCGAAAAATTTCCCGACGTTTTTTATGCTTAAGCGGTGCTGCCACTGAATGTGAAATTTATGAAAATCATTCTGTTTTATTAAATATTAAGACATTATTTTGGCAATCTTGCAAATAAGTTCAAAGGCAGTCTAAAAATATATAAGTATAAAACATACATTTTCAGGAGAAGGTGAAAACTTTTTAAAGTTTATTTTGTAACATTTAAGATATATTTATTCAAAAGGCAAACAACATAAACTTAACTGAGTTTATGAATAATAATATTCGTCTTACATATTACATTTTCTGAATTTATTTTGCCTGAAACGTAATAATAGTTATACCTGTAATATTTTTATCGCGTACACTAAAAAAAATATATTTGCACTGTTCGAACTATTGCGTTATATGAAGGATTTCTATGTATTGTAGACTTACGATATTTTTACTAAATGTGACTTATTCTCGTTTTCCCTGTTACCATAGCTATTGGTTTTTATAAATGCATTAGTTTTATTTAAAAAAAATAATAAACAAAACGATAATATAAAATTTATTTAAAATATTATTGGAAAATTTCTTTTAGATGCTTGCAGCAATGGAAAGATTTAGCCCGTCGTGTGGACAGTTTACACAAACAAGTAACAATAGCACTAGTCGGCAAATATACAAAACTTGAGGACTCATACGCTTCAGTTTCGAAATCTCTGCAGCATGCATCAATAGCTGCCGGGTACAAATTAAATTTAAAATATATAGAAGCTTGTCATTTGGAGCAACAAACTCGCGAGGTATCTCCCTCACTTTATCACGAAGCGTGGCATACTCTTTGTAATGCGGACGGTGTTATTGTGCCAGGAGGTTTTGGACAACGAGGTATGGAAGGAAAGATAACGGCATGTAATTGGTGTCGGGAAAAGAAGAAACCATTTTTAGGTATATGTTTAGGTCTGCAAGCGGCCATCATAGAGTTTTGTAGAAATGTCCTTGGCATGAAGGACGCAAATACAACAGAAATTGACTCCTCCACTTCATATCCAGTAGTTATTGATATGCCAGAACATCATCCTGGCCAAATGGGTGGCACTATGCGGTTGGGCAATCGTACAACAGTTTTCACAGCAGAAACTAGTATTATAAGACAACTGTATGGAAATCGAAATAAAGTGGCTGAGAGGCATAGGCATCGTTACGAAGTAAATCCCGAATTTGTTCCAATGATTCAAGAAAATGGCCTAAAATTTGTGGGAATGGACACTGAAAAAACAAGAATGGAAATTATAGAACTGTCAGACCATCCCTACTACGGCGCAACGCAATACCATCCGGAATATCTTTCAAGGCCGTTAAAACCGTCACCCCCATTTCTAGGCCTGATTTTGGCATCTGTTGGAAAGCTCAATAATTTTATTCAACGTGGTTGCAGGCTGTCTCCAAAACAAATGTCAGACGCTAGTAGCGATGAGGACGAATGTCTTGTGAAAACATCAAAAATCAAGAAAAATGGTGCAGTTACATCTAATAACCTAATTTTTTTGAGTGAAAATGTAAACAAAATCCAATCAGAATTTGGAAGTCAAAAAATTTATGTAGAAGGTGAACCATCTCCAAACAATACAATAGAGAGTAGCTGAAATACCTTAAATTACTTATAAATTTTAAAAATAAGAAGTACTTAGAATAAAGTAAATATGAGTTTACGTTTCAAATATTTGTTTTCTCTATTCCTTCTGTTTCTAAATATGTTATATTGGTCATTATGAAAATCTAAAAACTCAGTATAAAAGTTAACGCATCTAAACTGGGTAAAATTTTTGTTCGGAACATACCATCAAATTGGAACCGTTTCCAAGCTACAGGGATTTTAAGAAAATTTGGTGAAATTTTAACATACCTAAGTTTTTTTGCCTAAAACTTCCGTTCCGAAAAAACAGGAGCTTTTAATTAACAGTTTCTGAAAGGGCTAGTAAAAGGATTGAAAGCAACATGTTATTTTTAGTATATGAACTTTGGTATGGAGTTTGTAACTACTTGAAGGAGTCATCTGCGGTATGGACATTTATATATATTCTTGGTCAGCGTAAAATTCTGGGTCGGTTTAGACATGTCCGCCCGTCCGCCCGTCCGATCGCACGACATAAACGAAACTCAAAAACGAAAAATGCAATCGACAACAAAATTTCACGAGTTTTCTCTTTTGTACCAAGGACAAACCCTATTGTAATTTGACTAATTCGGACAAATGTTTCAAAAACTAATAAAGGTATAAATATAAAATTTTGTATAAGTAATGCCATACAACTCCAAAAGCAAATTTTTTATATTCGGCAAAATAATAAAGTCAGATTCATGAAATTTGGCAGTAATGTGTCCAATTATAGGTCAGATATATTTTTGAAGTTTTGGTTGAATTGCTAGACAGGTTCGTGTAGCTCCCATAGAAGTCTAAAAGCTTATTTTAAATATTTGAAAAAATAGTAAAGTCAGATTCATGAGACTTGGCAATCGTGTGTCCAATTATAGGTCAGACATATTTCTGAAGTTTTGGTGGAATTGCTTGACAGGTTCGAGTAGCTCCCATACAAGTCCAAAAGCTTATTCCAAATATTTGGAAAAATAATAACATCAGATTCGTGAAACTCGGCAGTTGTGTGTCCAATTATAGATCAGATATATTTTTGAAGTTTTGGTAGAATTGCTAGACAGGTTCGTGTAGCTCCCATAGAAGTCTAAAAGCTTATTTTAAATATTTGAAAAAATAGTAAAGTCAGATTCATGAGACTTGGCAGTTGTGTGTCCAATTATAGATCAGATATATTTGTGAAGTTTTAGTGGAATTGTTTGACAGGTTCGAGTACTTGCCATACAACTCCAAAAGCTAGTTTTAAATATTTGGAAAAATTATAAAGTCAGATTCATGAAACTTGGCAGTCGGGTGGCCAATTATAGGTTAGACATATCCGTGAAGTTTCTATATAATGGTTTCACACGAGTAATTGCTGTACAATAACGAAAGGTGCACGGTATAATTTCAAGAAAAGAAGAAAATCAGCTTTGATAAAGTGCGTATGTAGCGCACGAAATATATTAGCAAAAAAAATAAAAAAGGTATTTTATTCTCAATTATCTTTTCAAACATTATCCCAAAAATCCTTTAAGTAAATGTGTAAAGAAAATTTCGTAAAAAAGGCAAAGCAAATTTCATATTTGCTTTGCGGTTAATTATTTTTATTTTTGCAGAGTAGTACATAGAAAAAACAACATAGTGAAATTATAGAAAAATAATCATATAAAAAAAAAATTGTTATATTATAGAATTATTGTTCAATATATTTGGTAAAAATTTATCATTTTCTCACATTAAATCATTAACCACTCGCTAAACCATTTTCTTTTATAAATAACTAAAAATTGAAGAGGTAATTTTATTTTAAAAACGGACCTCGCTTTAACTTATTTCACTTAAAACTACTTTTTTTTCCTCTTTCAAAAAATGCAAAAAAAGAATAATAATAAAAATTACGAATTTGTTAGAATAAATGTGCACAGAATTTTTTTTCGAACTATTTTATTGGATCACATCCGTAAAAATTAAAATAAAGTATTTTCGATTTTTTATACCCTGCACTTCGTGAAAGGTATATTCACTTTCGTATGGAGTTTGTAACCACTTGAAGGAGTCGTCTTCGGTGGACATATATATATATTCTTGCTCAACGTAAAATTCTGCGTTGACTTATACCTGTCCGTCCGTCCGCCAGTCTGTCCGATCGCACGATATTTCAAAGACGAATAATGAAATCGGCATCAAACTTTCACAAGTTTTTTCTTTTGTACCAACGGCTTTTTTTGTAATTGAACGAATTCGGACAACGGGAAGCTGCCATACAACTCAAAGTATTTTTTTTTTAAATATTTCAAAAACTAAAACATTATATTCTATATATATTCTGAAATTTTTAATGTAGTAACTGCACTAGTTCAGGTTGCTGCGATATAACTCCGAAAGTTAATTTAAATATTTTGAAAAATAATAAAAGTAGTTTCTAGTCATGGGCTATATCGTTCATTTCAGTAACTAGTTCTCAACGAACTACTTTTTTTCACTGACCGATTATAAAATCTCGTTCAATCGTTCATTTCGTTCACTTCCCTTGTGTATATATAATTGCATATTTTTTGGTTATAATAATAATGGCTATTTGTATTTATGGTAAATTTTAAAAAGAAGAATATGTAATGGGTTTTGTAAATTAGTAATAAGTTTTAAACCAGAAAATGTCTCTACTTATATAAACCACCAAGTTTAAAACGTAGAGAAAAATTTAAAACTTTTACTTAAAAAACTTTTAAATTATAAGCAACTTCTTAAATTTGAAAAAATTAAAGTTTTAAACCATTTGAGTTTGAATTTATTATTCCTCACAAGAAATTTATAGAATAAAAATATTTGTAATTATCTTTATTTTTAATACTCGAAAGAAACTGAAATCCTATCATAATCTTTCTAAACTTTTGTTTAATTTAATGAACATGTAACATGAAGTTAAGTTTCAAAACAAAAATACAAAGTTCATCTCTCGGTTGGCTCTAGTACTAGTACAAAGTGCATGAGTCACATTTTTAGTATGAATAATTTAGTAATGCTCTGCAAGAATAAATTTATATTCAAATGAAGCTAAGCATACAGATGTAATATACGTATTAGGCTCTACCTAAATTTAACATATTAACTAACATAATAAGTTATAATATTTTTTGCAAGCGTTATGCGGATTTACATGAAAAAAAATCTGATACGAACACATGGCTCATTCTATGCTACCCATTTGGTCCCTGAAAAATTCGTCAGTTAGTTCGCTAACTCAAACTTTTAATTTTAAGAAATTTCATCAATTAGTTTATAGATATGATAACAAATCCCCTTGTTCGGTTTCCGAGCCCTGACATTTCCAAAAAATTTATAAATTCATGGTGTTGGCACCCTGAAATGTAAACATTAAATTTCACGGAAATTGGGTGATTTTTTCTCTTTATATGTGCAAATATGTAAACTTGGCCCGTATTTTTTCTTTTATTTACTTTATGTTTAAACCCTTATTACATTTATACATTATTTTTCTATTTTAATGCAACATAATGTAAATGCATAAAAACCTTTTTGGCAACTTACGTTAATGAGTAGAACCAAACATAAAAAAAACTTTTTTGAGTGTTATTTTATTTCATACTAGGGGCCCCTGTGGTTTGCTTATAAGCAGTATTATCTGTTGTAAAAACAGGATTGTGGCAATCAATTTTAAAATAAGTTTAGAAAAATTTGTACATATTATGGCATACATATGCAGGTATATTATATATATATAGCTACTTCTCAGGTGGTAAAAAGTACGGGTACTTCTAGAAGGGCTAGAGACATGGAACAAAAGGCATTAGATAGAGTTTTGCCTCCAGGGTCCCAGAAAAATCTGACATTGGAACTTTTTAGCCCCGAAATAGCTCTATTTTAAGATTTTCTGAAAAAATTTTTGTATAACAAAAGCACGTTTTTCTTTTATACTTTTTATAATTAGAAACACAAACCAAGAAATAAATGATACGTTTTACGTTATTTTTATTATTAGAAACACAAACCGAGAAATAAATAATATTTGAAAATGCAATGATCTCACATATATTTTAATTTCGAAAAATCGAAATAAACTTAAATAAATGTCAGATTTTATAAAAGACATCAGATGTTTTGTGGCAACTGAATATTAATGCTTCATTTGTTATTGTTTTGAATATTATGTTTCGTCAGCAAGCTTTAAAAAAATATACATACACAATTTATGTACGTATGTATCTACCTAAAATTTTATTTTTATTGTTCGAGCGAAAACCTGTAAAAAATGCTAAATTCCAATACATTCATATATACATACATACACACATATATTCATATATACATTCATACACATATTTTTACATACATAAATTATTATTTTGTTTTTGACTAAACCTTTTCTTTATGTTTAAAATTCAATCCTATATGTTTACCCACAGTTTAAAAAAAACAGGTATCCATTCATAATTATGTATATTTGCATTTATAATTTTATTTATAATTTTTCCAACAGCAAAATTTCAAAATTTTCGATTCTAATACATTCATATGTACATACGTTCATATGTTGGAACGAAAAATTTTAAAATCTTCAATTCTAATCCATTCATATATACATACATACACACATGTATTCATATATACATACTTACATATATTTTTACATACATAAATTATTATTTTGTTTTTGATTAAACCTTTTCTTTATTTGAGAAATTAATTTTTGTACGTTTACCCCCATGATATAATAATTATGCGTTTAAAATTTATTTCTATTTATTCTACAGTTTTGAATATTATTAAATTCATATAGAAAGCTTAAAAAAAATTACTCAGTAAGCTTTAAAAAAAATATACATACTACATACATATTTATGTACTTAAAATTTTTGCGAATTTTTCCAAACTATTATAAGAATATTTTTTTGGAAATTTTCTTTAAACTTTTATATAACATTTATGTGTTATATATTAAAAAAAAATAAAATACAAAATTTAAACAAAATAAAAAAAAAAAATTTTAAA